CACGCTCACCTAGGGGGAGGGGCATCGCTGGAGCCCGCCTGGGCATGCACGAGGCAGGGGGTATGGGGGTTGGCTCGGCAGCCCCACCTCACCTTGGACATGAACTGGATCCAGCCGCAGGCTGCGTTGTCAATGGTATCCAGCTGCTGCAGGAGGGCCATGCCACTGGGCAGCGAGAAGTTGTCCTGTCTCAGGGCCGGCGGCAGCTCATCCAGCGACAGGTTCAGTGCCTCGGGGTGCAGCCGCAGCTCCGCTACGTACTAGGGGTAGAGGAGCAGCTCAGAAGGGGGCCTGCAGGCCTGCCGAGCCGGGCAGAGAGGGGCTCCCCGCGCCACCTGCGGCTGCCTCCCTCGCGGGCACCCTTGGCACCTGCTGTAGCCAGTGTAAGTGTTGCTGCAGCCTGCCCTGCTCCAGGAAGCTGCGAATCTCGGCCGAGATGTTGAGCCAGACCTGGGCATAGTGAGTCACGTTGCCCACAAAGGCAAAAGTCTCATTGGCCTGCAGAGGGTGAGGCAGGGGCATGGAGTTTCCTGACGGACCCCCGCCGGCTTGGGGGCTCTCACCCCACTCACCTCCCCAGTGGCTGACCTGTTGAAAACAACCAACCCTCCCCATCTTTTTTTTTTTTTTCCCCAAGACAGGGTCTCAGTCACCCACGCTGGAGTGCAGTGGTGCAGTCCCGGCTCACAGCAGCCTCCACCTCCCAGGCTCAAGGGATCCTCCCGCCTCAGCCCTCCAAGTAGCTAGGATTACAGGTGCCCATCACCACACCTGGCTAATTTTTTTATTTTTGGTAGAGATGGGGATCCACTATGTTGCTCAGGCTTGTCTCAAACTCTGGAGCTCAAGCGATCCTCCCACCATGGCCTCCCAAAGTGCTGGGATTTCAAGCATGAGTCCCACGCCCGGGCTCTCCACACCTTTCTGCAGCGCTCATGTGAAACCTGCTTTGCCCTCCAGTCCCAGGCAGCATGGCCTCCGGACCCCCAACTGCCCAGCTGTGCCCACCAGCTCCTTTGCTGGACCTCTCTCCATGTGTCCCTTAAGCACCCCATGCTCCACCCTCATTTCTCCCACCCTTATCCTAGGGACCCCCCTCTACACCCAGGATTGGCCTCGTCCACAGGCCCTCCCCTCCCAGGCCAATGTCCAGCCCTAGCCTCTGCTTGCTCCAGACAGGACCTCTCACCCAGAATGCAAACTACCCAGCTGCCCGCCCACAGAACACTCTGGAAGGTCTCCGGACACACCCCTCCTCCACCAGCACTGCCCTGGACTGGCCACACCGAGCCGGTGGACCCTGCCAGAGCAGACTCTCCAGTGCCTTCCCACAGCAGCCCCTGGAGCTCCCTAAAGGAAAAGCGGCCCCCTGGTCCCCCACCTGCAGAGCCTGTGTACCTGAAGTTGTACCCCTGTACCCCTCCCATGTCAGTTCTGCCGACCCCCTTGGCCCAGGGGTCCCAAGCCTGCAGAGACCCCCTCCCACTCTGCCTGTCAAGTGTTCTAGACCCGCGCACCTTGAGGATGACGCGGTCGACCTCAGAGCCTGCAGGTGCGTACAGGATTTTGGGGTTGCTGGTCATGAGGTGCACGAGGAGGCCCAGGTTCCGCTGCTCCTTGCTCGTGAAGCCCAGGGAGCTCATGTTGCCCCGCCGCAGCGCCTCGGGCTCAATGGTGCTGGGGCAGGGACAGGAGGCAGGGCCAGGCCATTAGGGGGCGGGGCCGCGAGAGTGGGAGGGGCATCGGGATGGGGCGGGACTTCGGCGCACAGGGCAGGGCGCCAAATGAGACCTCCAGAGCCAGGGCCTAGAGTCAGGGCTCAGGCCCTGCCCCTGGCTGTCCTCCTCACCCCCATTCCCCTGCCGCCCACCTACCGGTTGTTGCCACACAATATGGGCTGCAGGCCGGCCCAGAGCTGCACGAAGGCTGAGCACTGGCCCTGCAGCGTGTCCGGGGAGGCCGGTGCTGCAGCAGAGGGTGCGCCCTCCTCAGCGGTGGCGTTGGGGCCCACGACTGTCCCTGCCCCAGTGCCATTGGCCACCCCACCCGCACCGCTGGCTGGGGGTCCGGGGGTCCGGCCGGTGCAGGCACCCTGGGGCAGTAGCAGGGCCAGGGCCGACAGGACATCCACATCCTGCAGAACCTTCTGGGCATCCAGCAGGTCCCCCAGAAGCACCTGCAGCCTCCGTGGGGATGGCGCCTGTGGCGGGGAGTCTGAGCCGTTGGGGGCATCCAGGCCCAGCTGAGAGGAAACAGGCATGTGGGCAGTGAGGGGTGAGATGGACTGCAGGTGGGTGATAGGTCAGGTGCGGAGCAAGGAGACAGCAGCAAGGAGGCACAAGCTGGGGATGCTGGGAGGGAGTCTGTAGCCTGGGTAACGGGAGCCCAGGACAGGAGCTGGGATGGTGAGCAGGGGTGGGGCACCAGCCATGGCGCCATTACATACCCACCCACAGGCAGCATCCCACGCACAGCCTGGGCCCAGGAGCCCCGAGCTCTCCAAGCAGCCCCAGCCCCTCTTTCAACTCAGGCAGCAAGCAGCGGGCAGTGGGCAGGCAGGGCCTCACCTGCTGGGAGACCTTGGCCATGTCCAGCTGGTTCCGGAGCTCATCGGCCAGCCCAGAGAAGCGCCTGGCACGTGCAGCAGCCTGTCCACTGCAGACAACATCCTGGTAGCCCTGCAGGGCCCCCTTCTGACTCTCAGGCACAGTGAGGATCCGGCCCAGCTTCCCGGAGCCTGGCGTGCAGGTGAGCTGTTCCAGGAGGGCAGGAGCCAGCAGCAGCTCCTGGGGTGGGCACAGGGATCAGTGGAGACACAGCAAGGACTTTGTCCCCAACCACCAGGGCCTCAGGCCTCAACCTACCCCACCCACCGGCTGGCTCTGGGGCTGCCTGGGTCCTACGACATTCCTCTACCCCTTGTGCCTGCCATAGACCCCTGGGACCCTCCCCTTCTCCCAGGAGGAGCTCCAAGTCACTAAGGGGGCCCTTTCCTCACCCACGGAGCAGAAGCACCCCCAGAGGCAGGCAGCACTCCAGTCCCATCCCACACATGGATGCCCTAACCTCCATCCGGAACAGGGGATTACTCCCTAGGTGGCTCCAGGGCTCCTGACCCTTGTGGAGGCCGGACTGTGAATCCAGGGCAGATGAGGGACCAAAGAGCAGGTGGTAGACCTGGGAGTTACGGGGGCATGGTTCAGATGGGGGTGTGGGGGCGTGGCTCAGATGGGGGTGTGGGGGCGTGGCTCAGATGGTGGTGTGGGGGTGTGGCTCAGATGGGGTGTGGGGCGTGGCTCAGACGGTGGGGGCATGGCTCAGATGGGGTGTGGGGCGTGGCTAAAATGGTGGGGGCGTGGCTCAGAGTCCTGAGGATGGCTCAGCAACCAGGGGGCATGGTGGGGGCAGAAGGGAGTGGCCAGGGCTGGGAGCTGTCCTTGCCTCACCTCGGGAGGGTCCACACGGGCGGCCAGGAGGGCTTGGGCTGTGCTATTGGGCAGCGACAGGTTTTGCGTCAGGAAACGCCAGAGCTCCTGCGGGTCTCTGGCCACCGAGTCCAGAGAGAAGGAAGACACTGGACAGGCAGGAAGGCGAGGCTGAGAGGCCGCTGCACCTTGGCAAGGTGTCCCACATGGGCTTGGAGCCGAGCCCAACACCACAGCTCTGCCACTGCAGCCTGCGCGTGGCTGGGAGCTCAGGGCAGGTGGAGGGGCCCAGGGTGGATGTGGGTTTCAGCCCAGTGACAGCAGAGCTAGGCCCGCAGCCCTGTCCCCCAACTTCCCTGCACAAGGCACACCTGTGGATCTGTCCAGGTGGCTCCCCGAGGTGCCTGGGCCCGCACTGAGGGCCTCCAGATGCTGGCGCAGGGCCTCGAGCTCTGAGCCCAGGCTGGGCCGCGCTGGGTCGAACAGGTTGCCTTCCTCCACCACACGGTCCAGGCGCTCGAGCAGCTGCGTGACCCTGCACCAGGGCGGATGTCACTCACTGGATGGGCTGGGGAGGGGTGGGTACTCCGAGGGGCGGGTGGGCACTCACGTGGAGTTGGCGTACTGCAGGAAGCCGAACTCGTCCCGCTGGCCGTCCGGGCACAGTGACTGCATGACAGGCAGAATGCCGGCGGACGTCAGGGGCGCCGCTGTGTAGAAGGCTGGCGGACCCACAGGAGAGGGCAGGGTCGGGGGTGAAAGGGGAGAGAGAGACAGGAATCCAGAAGGGGAAGGAGACAGAGGCCGGGAGGAGAAATTTAGAGAAAGTCAGGAAGGAGAAGCAGCGTTAGGGAGGAGGCAGCACAGAGCCCTGGCCCCAGCTGGGCTACAGGCTAAGCATTCTGGGGTGAATGACTCCAGCAGGTCAGAGGTCAAAGAGCCACTCACCACCCCTTCTGCCATAACTCCCAGAGCATTCCTTTCCCTTCGGCCAGTGCAGGCCCACGTGCCCTGGCACTCTCCCCCCAAAAACATTTCAGCTGTGGCACTGCCTACAGAGACCAGGGGAGGACATAGGACCCCCTCTGGGCAGTGACCTCTGACCTCTGGCCAGCTGGTTAGCAGAGTGAGTGCAGGAGCCTGAAGAAGTATGAAGGGAGAGTAGCCAGGCCGCTCCAGCCCCAGCCCAGGCCAGCCCAGCCTCAGCCCAGGCCAGCCAAGCCTCAGCCCAGACTCCGCCCAGAAGCCGAGGCGCCCCACCCCTAGAAGGCAAGGCCAGGCAGAGAGATGCTGCCTCAGCTTGACCCAGGCAACAGTTGTGGCTTTAGGTGGCCCGGCCTCTCACTCCCTACCACGGCCCACTTCACTGCCCACCACCCCCCGTCTGGAGCCAGCTGTTCCTGAGGCCGGCAGGGGGCCTGGGAGGGCTGTTAATGAAAGCGGGGAGGGCGCTCAAGCCAGGACGGCCCGTGGGCCCCCCGCAGCTGCTGCCCAGGCCAGCCAGGAGGAGGCGGCCGCTCACTTACAGACTGCATGCCAGCCGAGGACAAGAGACCATGCGGGGTGGGGGGGGGGTCAAAACAGAACAGAGGAGACCAGTGAGTGCCCACATCACCAGGAACAGGCATTGGCATCATCATTCGAGGCCACAGGCCAGCCCCGACCTCCATAGCCCAGCCAGGAGGCACGGCCCAGGACCGCACAGAGGAACAGGCACCACACCTCAGGGACTCTGGGAACAGGACACCCATGTGCAGATGTGCACACACAGCGCAGGCGTGCCGGGAGGGCTCCCCCTCCGCGCTCCCCCAGCTGTGCCCGGGGCCTCCTGTCGCGCTCACCTTCCTTCACGGAGATGGTGGGCTTCTTCTGCCGCAGCCCCAGCAGGATGAAGAACAGCACCAGGGGGATGAAGATCTCAAAGGCCAGGACCCACTGGAAAGGGTGGGCCCAGTGAGGGACAGGACAGACCTGTGCTCGCCCAGGCCCTCCCCAGCCTCCCACAGGACCGGCCCAGCCCAGCCCAGCCAGGACCACATGCTCCCTGGGGCCAGGGAAGGTGGGCACAGGCCCTTCGGGACCACTGAAGGTCTGAGCCCCTTCCAGGGTACTGAGGGTAAGGACTGTCTGGCTCAGCAAATCAGGTTTCCGGTCCCCAGCCCACAGTGGGCCTACCTGCCCTCTGAGGAGCCTCAGGGCCCACCGTGACGAATCGGCCAGCTTGTGGTCTACTCTGACCCATGTATATCCCAGCTCATCTTCTTCCTCCCTACCTCCAGGGCTACCTGGGCAAAATCTTGGGGACCATCTGAGCCACTGGCCCCACCTATAGTTCTCACACTGCCCCGGATTCACCTTCCTCCCCCTTCCTCCCCACCAATACAGGGGCCTGGGGAGATGAGGAGGCTTGGTTCAGAGATGCCTGGCCTGAGCCCAGGGCCCTGAGCCTCAGAGAAGACCCGGTAAGGGGTCTGACAGCCCCAGTCCCTGAGGCAAAGGCACCTTTTTTGTTTGTTTGTTTTGTTTTGAGATGGAGTCTTGCTTTGTTGCCCAGGCTGGAGTGCAGTGGTGCAATCTCAGCTCACTGCAAGCTCCGCCCCCTGAGTTCACACCATTCTCCTGCCTCAGCCTCCCAAGTAGCTGGGACTACAGGTGGCTGCCACCACACCCGGCTAATTTTTTCTATTTTTAGTAGAGATGGGGTTTCACCGTGTTGGCCAGGACAGTCTCGATCTCCTGACCTCGTGATCCACCTGCCTCAGCCTCCCAAAGTGCTGGGATTACAGGCGTGAGCCACCATGCCCGACCCAAAGGCACCTCTTTCTACCCTGTTCCCTCCCCTGACCCGGGGCAGCCAGTCTTGGGCCTCGGAGTTCAGTTTCCCCAGGTCAGCTCCTGCTAGCCCAGGCTGGGCACCAAGGTGAGCCCTAGCGGGACCTGCGTGGAGTGAGAAAGAAGCACTTTGCTCACTTCACCTGAAAACCAAGGACTTCACTGGTTCTTGTGTCCCAGCCCTCAGCTCAGGGAGGAGGAGGAGCTTGGGCCAGCTACTCTCAGGAGAGCCCTTGGCAGACCAGCCCTCCCTGAGACCCACAGGACAGAGGGGCCCTGCCCTCAAGGGCGAGCACCCAACTCGGAGGCATCCTTTGTCTTCGTCCCCATCCCAAAACCCTTCAGAACCCCCAGTGTGCTGTGTGGTCCAGGCCAAGCCCCCAGTCCCTGGGGTGGGGGCGGCTGCTGTGTTTACTGTGCTTGGACAATAGGGCTCTGTGGCCGGGAACATCATGCTGTGGGTGCCCCATGCCCGCCCCAGCCTGTGCCAGCCTCTACCCACTCCCTGAGCCAGGATAGAGCCCGGGGCTCGTCGAGGCACTGTGGGCACCAACAGGCACCAGGGCGAGGGTGGCTGCTGGACTGGGGCAATGTCAGAGGCAGGGGTCACAGCACAGGGCGCCAGCCCTGCCCACACCCGGCCTGCTACGGGCGCTGTAACTGCAGCAACAGGCCCAGCTGCCTTCCCCATTGCTATAGCAACGGCCTCGCACGAGCTACTGGGAGGAGGAGGAGAGTCCTGGCTGGCGGGTGGCAGGCGCCACAGGAGCATCTGGTTACAGGCGGCAGCACAGGTCTGGCACGCCCTGGGTGCCCCACATGGGTGCCTCCAGGTGGTCCAACCTCTGTCCCTCAAGACCAGCCCAGTGCCTTCACATCGCCTGGAGGCCTGGGTGCCCTCTCTGGGCATGACCCCTCCCTGTAGCTCCCGCCTACTGTGTCGGGGGGAGAACAGGTGAGATCCGAAGGTGGCACTGCCACCTGCCATCCCAGTGACTTTATGACAGTGAGCCTGTCCCTTCACCAAGAACAGCCTGTAGCCCAAGGGCAGACCCACGTCCAGCTAACTAAGAGGAGGTAGGTCACACAGACAGGGGAACTGAGACAAAGAGCTTGGAGGAGTCTGCTAGCAGCATGGAGGTCCTTGGTACCCACCCACCAGACCCTGGGCTCTGCCCAGGGTGCACCCCTGCCCCAGCAGGGCGCATGGCACGCAGGGCCAACCTCTGTCATCCAAGCCTGGCCCCAAGAGTCCAGCTCTGATGTCTAAGATCCTTCCCAGGAAAGCAGGGACCTGGTAGGAGTGTGCCCAGTGTCCAGCCAGCCCCAGTCCCACATCACAAGCCTGGCAAGGACTCAGCCTCCCTGGGGGAAACAGTTCCCCACCTGCTCCAGCCACAGGCTGAGGACCTCCACTGTGGCCTAGTGGGCCTCTGGGAGCCCTGTAGGGTGGGGACCCAGAAAGGTCCTGGGGGGCAGTCCGAACTAGCAGCTGGGAGCCACTCGTGCGGTCGGGACAGTGCACACCTCCCACCTGCTTGCCAGGTGCCCTCATAGGCCACACTGCCTTCCCTGAGCATTGTCCCCACTGGAACAGGGGCCACCATTCCAGCCTCTGCTCCCAGGCCCAGTGGGGACCTTCCTGACAGCAACCTCCGGGGGCTAATAGTAATGCATGCCACATGTCACATCCCTGTTCCCTTGGCCCTGCTTTGCTGTCCCCAGTGACCCAGTGCCGAGGACTGCAGGCCTGATCCATGGGACTCCACTCAGCCAGTTCCAGGTGCCTGGCCAGGGCGTGTACCTAACCCAGGCTCCCTGCCAAGGCCAGGTGCCCAGGGGAATCCTGCCAGCCATGGTGATGATGGCCACCCCACCTGACTGCAGCCTCGGTTTCCTGCAGTGCATGTTGAAAGATAAACAGGCAGGGACTGGTGCAGCCCAAGGGGTCCCGCCTGGGTGCTGACTGGGCAAGAGGATGTGTCCGCCTCAGGCCCCCACCTGCTCTGGGCCCTGGCCTGGACAATTCCAAGGGCTTTCAGAAACCCAAGCTGGCCCAGGCCTCGGGCCTGGGAGGTGTCCCTTCCCTTCCCAGGCTGGAGCCAAGCTGGCCAGCTGGGGGTATGGCAGGACACCCATACCCCCAAGCCCCTCGCTCCACACAGGACTTCTGTCCCTGACGGCTGTGTGTCCCGCACCCTCAGGTCCATTGGCTGCCCAGGCAGTGCTGGGAACCTGGTGGTCACAGCTCCAAACAGTAGATCCAGCCCCCAGAGGAGATGGGGGACCAGGAGGGAATAGAGTGGATCAGGCTCAGGGAGAACTGACCCCAAAGGACAAAGGGGTGCAGAGATTCAGGCTGGCCGAGGCTAGCACAAGGACGTTCCCAGTGGCGAGAGCATGAGCAAGGGTCATGGATGTGCCAGGAGGGGTGCGGGGGAGGGGAGGCGGAGAGATGCCTGGGACCAACCTCTATGGCAGGCCTCGGCCCAAGGGCAGGGGAGGGGCGGAGGGAGGGAAGGGACAGGGTCTCCGCTGGGGTCCCAGAGAGGCTGGGCCCAAGGACCATGGAGCCTCAGAGTTGGATGGAGCCCCCCAGGCCTGCCCTCTGTCCTGGGAACCAGGGCCTCCCTCGAGCCAGAGTCCTGAGCGCCGCTTGCCCCCCGCCCACAGCGGCCCCAGAGAGCGCGCTGCAGAGGGCACGGGTGCCGTGACTCAGCCGAGCACCGCGATGTCAGCGGACGCGGGACCGGGCTGGCCACGACCGAGCCACCTCCCTGGAGGCCGCAGCGCCGGCAGCAGAGAGCAGGGCCCGGCGGGGAGGGGGCTCGGGCCCGCGCCGCCCCCAGCGCCCGCCGGGGTCCGCGCGCGCCCGGCCGTCCGCACGTGCGCGCGGGGAGCGCGACGCTGGCCGCGGTGCGCGCGGCCTCGGGCTGCGGGCGGGCGCGTGAAGGCCTGTTTCTTCAGCCGCGCGTGCCACTGACCTCAGGCTGCAGCAGGCGCGTGATGCATCACCGAAACCAGCGCTTGAGCGTCACACGTTCTTTGAGCAGCAGCTGCAGCGCATGGTGCAGGAAATATGGCGGGGCCGCGCTCCGCCGCCTCGCGCCATGACCGCTCCTCTGCGCGCCCCGCCCGTCCCGCCGCCGCCGCGCCGCTGGGGCATCGCCGCCGCGAGGCGGGGCGCTCGGGCGTCGGGACCCGATCGCGCTGGCTCGCGGGGGCGGGGCGCTCGGGCGTCCGGGACCCGATCCGCGCTGGCTCCGCCCCGGCGGCCGCGGCGACAGCGACTCTGCCCGCGCCCCGCCCGCCCCCGCTTAAAGGCGCCGCGCTCCGTCCGCGCCCGCCAGGAGGCGCCCGCCGCCCGCGCTGCGCCCGGGACCGACCCGGGCCCGAGACCCTGCGCGCGCCGCCGCCGGGAAGCCTCCGGGCCGTCGCTCGCCGGGCGTCACGCGACGCGCCCACATCCAATCCGAGACCCCGGCTCAGCCCTCGGAGGCCAGGGGACCCTCGGGCGCTGCGCTTTTCTCCCAGAGGCATCCGGCTGCGCCCACCGTGCTGGCGACTCTGCAGAGGCGCCCCAAGCCTTCACTGTCCCCGGGGCGCGCCGAGCGGACGCTGGCGAGGCGCCAGCTCACCCCCATAAGGGTCTCCTGTGTGCCTTGTAAACCAGCACTTGGAGTCCAGGTGGCGCCCAGCTGGAGGGGAGGCGGGGCAGCCCGGTGGGTCGGTCCCGCGGTTCCGGGCAGCCAGCGGAAGGGGGAAAACCCGAGGCCCCAGGAACGCTCGCCGTGGGCGGTGCAGGCAGGGGACCGAGACTGCCCCTGCTGCACGCGGCTCATTTTTCACCCCGTATCTGGGCAAGTCTGTTCTCTGCACGGAGAGTTCGGGGTCAGGCGGTTCTGCCGCTGTAGCTTGGCACCTGCCGGGGCGCCCCGGGGAGGTGGGGCAGTTCCTCCGCGTGGCCTGCAGAGGGCGACAGAGGGCAGGCTGGCCCCATGGGTGGCTCTGACGGCGCCTCCCAGCCTCAGTTTCCCCACCTGTGAATGGGGTGAAGTAGGGCTGTGTGGTGTCCAGTGTCTGGGCGCACATAGAAGGCTCACCCTCAAGTGAAAGACCTCTGGGGCCACAGCTCCCCACTCCCAGCTCCTTTGCAGCAGGAAGGTGACCCTGGGCTGGTGGGTGAGGAATCAGCCTCCCACCGCAGCCCGCAGCCTCAGGACACTTGCTTTTCCCTGCTTAGTCCACAGGGCTAGGTCAGGGCAGGAAGCTACCAGCAAGTCTTTCCCACAAGCCCCAGCCATGGGTGAGGGAGGCTTCCTGCCCTCAACCTGCCCACCCCGACCTGGGGTAGGGACAAGCCCTGTGCCCCGGCCCTGGGGGCTTGGCCTGTTGAGGCCCTGGTCAGCACCACCCGTGGGTTGGCCTCCCTCCTCCTTGCCCCACTCCCCACCGGCCACTACAGGGGCTCCCTGGCTGCAGCCGCATGCCCAGTGCCTCCCCAGCACTTGCTACCAGAGGGAGCTCCAGGGCACAGGTCAGACCCTGTCACCCAAGACATCCTCCAGCCTGCGGACCTGGCAGATGGACGCTTTCAGCCTGGCCAGGCGTCTGAAGTCCGTTCCCTACTCTTCCCCATCCTTGGCCTGTTTCTGGTTTTTGTTTTGAGACAGGATCTCATTCTGTTGCCCAGGCTGGAGTGCCATGGTGTGATCACGGTTCACTGAAGCTTCAACCTCCTGGGCTCAAGCCATCCTCTCACCTCAGTATCCCAAGTAGGTGGGACCACAGGCGTGACCCACCATGCCCTGCTAATTCTTGTATTTTGGGTAGAGATGAGGTTTCGCTACACTGCCCAGGCTGGTCTTGAATTCTTGGGCTCATCGCCTTGGCCTTTTGGGGGCCACGGAAGGCTCTCTGATAAGGGGCTGTTTGGTGGAGGCTGTAGGAACTGGGGGAGCCAGCGGGCAGCCCGGCACAGGGAGAGCTCTCAGATGGAGGGTGAGCAAATGCCCCGAGGTCAGGAGACAGGATCCCCGGTGGGGAACAAGCAGCCCCGTGGCTGTGGGGGCGACATGTCGCGGAGGGCAGACACAGGTTCTGTGGCCCTGTACGGAGGTGACCCACGAGGCACTGGTCAGACCTTTATTGTCCACCGCCCTCCCTCCCTAAACCCAGAACAATCTGGTTTGTTCCCCGTGGTCTCCTGGGCCCCGCCCCAGCCTACACACAGGGACCTCAGAACTGTGGATGTGCCAGGGACCCGTGCCTGTGTCCCAGGGACCACAGTGCCTCTGCCCCTACAGAGGAAGCTCGGGGTCCCAGGTTTGGCTCCCACAAACTGCAGGCTGGGGTGTCCCCAGCCCCAAGGGCCCTGCCTTTCACCCTCTTCCAGCCAGGCCTTGACCCACCCAATATTTGTTCAGGGTGGAGAGGGTCCTCCGCAGCCTTTCCCCTCCTGTCTGCCTCAGCGGGTACCCGTTACCTCCCTCCTGCTCTCACCTCCTCTGCCTGCTCCAGTGCCTACCTGCACCCCCCACCCCTGCTTCCTGACCTCTGTCCCCAGCCTCCCGTTAGCCCGCTGCTTGCCAGTAAGGGCCGGATGCCTGGTGGTTTGATTTCGACACCCAGCCCTTCCACCCACACCCACCTCCCCCGGCCAGCAGAGCTCAGGCCTGAAACCAGCCCTCAAGGTCCTCATAGACCTGGTTGCGGGGCAGGTGCGGGTAGCGGTCACAGATGGCACAGAAACGCTCCCGCCAGTCGGTGAAGAGTCGCACGCGGAGCCTGTCACGCCAGGAAAAGAAGCGTCGGTATCGGCTCTCATTCATGCCGGCGAGGAAAGCTGCCAGCTCTTGGGCTGAGCCAAAGTCATCCACATGTACGAATGCGTCGGCCGGCGCGAAGGCCTCGTAGGTGGCCCGTGGGGGCCCCAGCACCACCGGCACAGTGCCAGCCACAAGTGCGTTGCGCCAGAATTTCTCTGTAATGTAGTCACGGTGTTGAGAGTTCTCAAAGGACAGGTAGAAGCGGTACCGGGCCACGGTGGGCACCAGGCAGCTGGTACACAGCGGCCGTCCACTGGCACGGCCAAAGACGTCCACCCGCAGGTGAGGCACCAGCTGCCGGTACAGCCTGGCACGCAGCTGCCGCTCCTGGAAGTTGCTGACCACCCAGGCGGCCACCCTGCTCTTGGTTGGCAGTGGTGGCAAGGGCCCCGAGTGGGGTTCCAGGCGGCCATAAGGCACAAAGATGTCCGAGTCACGCCGGTAGCTCAGCACCCAGTTGAAGATGCCTCGGAGGCGGCTGAGGCCATGGGTGTGGCTAGGTGACTCCATGGAGGCCCACACCCAGGGCTGCCCTTGTGGCCGCTGGGCCAGGGGCAGGTGGGACCGCCGGGTCTGCAGCTCGCGGTGGTGGAAGACCACGGCGTCGGCGCTGGCCAGCAGGCTTCGGTTGGCACTCAGGTGGCAGCGGGTGATGCCGTAGCGGGTGCAGGTGTCGCCCGGCAGCTCTGGGGGCTGGTCAGTGAAGGGCCAGTGCCAGACAAGGATGGTGATTGTGGGCTGGGGTGCCGGGGTACGCCGAGGGGCTGACCCCAGCAGCCACAGGAGCCAGAAGGCAGCGAGCAGAGCCACCCCGGCCAGGCCCCCCAAGCCCCGCAGCCTCCGGGTGGGGCCGTGCCCTGCAGCAGCACAAGGGAGGGGAGGCTCTGTCACTTGGGCTCAGGGACACCCAAACGCCCCACTCAGCGTCACCCCCATCCTCCCCTCCCAGACTGCCTAGCTCTCCCCAGCCTGGGTTTCCCCCAGGGCCCGACACTCACCAGCATTATTCATCCACAGTCTCCCAGAATCAGTCAGCTAAGACACCCGAGATTCTCAAATCACAGCAGCCGCCAGAGATGCCCTGAAATCACAGCTGCGCCCTGGCTCAGCCCCGCCTGGAACTGTGCTCCTTTTATCTCTGCCCAAGGTGAGGGAACTCAGGGGACCTTCCTGCTCCTGCCCCGCCCCTGCCCCCACAACCTTTGGCATCAACCACTGTCCCCACCCCCATCTCGGGGACTTGCTAGTCCTGGGGCTGCTGGGAGGGGTATAGCCACAAGAGGGGTGCCAAGCCAGGCCAATACGACGCCCCCCCCCAGCCCACCCCACTGGTCTCCAGAGAGGCCCAGAGATGTCCAGCTGGGCAGGCAGAGGATGGGGAGGCACAGGCAGGCTCGGCCTAGGGCAGGGAAGGCCCAGGTGCGGGCACCCTGAGCGGAGATGGCCCCCCAGCCCCCACCCAGCTACCCAGGCCTGGGCCTGGGCGCTGCAGACAGCGAGCACACTTCCCCAGAGGGCCAGATGGCTCCTCCCACCGCAGGATCACCCACTTCCCCCAGCTCACCACCACCTGGGCCCTGGTCTCCCAGGAGAATCTTACACATTGCAGATGTGCTGTGCTCAGCTCTTCGCCAGAGGCTGAGGCTCCCAATTGGGCCACCCCACCCCACTCTGCCACCTCTGCCATCTAGGAACCCAGACGCCCGGAGAGGAGGTCTGTCCTGGGGCCCTTAGCCTTCCCACAGGAGCCCAGCGCGTGCCTGCAAGGGCCTGGTCCCAGAGTGAACTGTGGATGGAGGCTGCTTTCTCCTTTTCCCTGTCCAGATCCATGCCCATAGACGCCTCTGACTATAGGCTAGGCCCAGGGTCCCTTCCTCCAGGCTGCAGCAGAGGGGCTTTCCAGGCTGGAAAGGAAAGGAGTCCTTTTGTCCCTGACGCAAGCAGGCTGGGGGCTGGCACCCGTTGCAGGAAGAGGAGAGGACCCAGCCTGAAGAGTCCCTGCTTCCTCTAGCCGGGGCCTGGAGCCTCGGGGCCAGGTTCCTTCTACACCAGCCCATGTTGGGCGTCAGCCAGGCTGGGATGGCCCTGCAGGGTCACCCTGACCCCCAGCCAACACCCCACTCTCAGCCACAGTGGCAGGCTCCGTCAGCTTCACCCCAACCAGATGGCCACTCTGCTGCAAAGGACCTTGTGTGGTCCCAGGCATGGGCAGACCCAGCCCTCATGCCCAATGTGACGTCCTGGAGATCTCAATGCAGGTCAGGCTTGGTTTGTTTGTTTGTTTGTTTGTTTGTTTTCTGAGAAGGAGTCTTGCACTATCGCCCAGGCTGCAATCCCAGCCCTTTGGGAGGCCGAGGCTTGTGGATCACCTGAAGTCAGGATCAAGTGGTGTGATCTTGGCTCACTGCAACCTCCACCTCCTGGGTCCAAGCGATTCTCCTGTCTCAGCCTCCCGAGTAGCTGAGATTACAGGCGCCTGCCACCACGCCCAGCTAATTTTTGTATTTTTAGTAGAGATGGGGTTTTCCCATGTTGGCCAGGCTGGTCTTGAACTCCTGACTTCAGATGATCCACAAGCCTCAGCCTCCCAAAGCGCTTGGATTCCAGGCGTGAGCCACCGTGCCCAGCCAAGTTTGCTTTTTTGTGTGTGGGTTTTTGTTTCTTGGTTTTTGGTTTTTTTGAGACAGGGTCTTGCTCTGTTGCCCAGACTGGAGTGCAGTGGTGCAGTCACGGTTCACTGCTGCCTCAATCTCCTGGGCTCAAGCAATGCTCCCACCTCAGCCTCCCAAGTAGCTGGGTCTATGGGTGTGCATCACCATGCCTGGTTAATTTTTTAAAATTTTTTGTAGAGACAGAGTCTTGCTATGTTGTCCAGGCTGGTTTCAAACTCCTGGGCCCAAGCAATCCTCCCACCTCGGCCTCCCAAAACGCTGGGATTCCGGGAATGAGGACGCGTCTGTCCTGTCAGGTCCTTTGAGGGCTCAGATCGTGTGTCCTGGGAGGAATGGCAACCATGAACTGTTGTCCAGGCCTTTACCCCTCCGAGGGGGCCTGCCTCCCACCACCCCGTCCCTGTCCTGTTCTACTCTAGGGCCCCAGGGGCTGCTGGCCTCTCCCCGGCCCCACAGTGAGTACGAGGCTGCCTTGGGAGGGGGACCAGGCAGCTGGAGACTGAAGTGGGAGGATCCCACTGTGGGGACAGAGGCAAGACTGGGACAGGGTGGTAGTCAGAGGCCCCCACCCCTGTGGCCCAGTGTAGCCTCCGAGCTGAGCTGTGCTGCGGAACTTGTGCAACGGCTAGAGGGAGGAAGGCTGGAGGGAGGGGGGCTGGAGGGAGGGGGACTGGAGGAAGGGTGTTTGGAGGGAGGGGGCCTTGGAGGGAGGGGGCTGGAAGGAGGGGGGCTGGAGGGAGGAACTTGGAGGGAGGGGGCTTGAAGGGGGGGCTGGAGGGAGGGGAGCTGGAGGGAGGGGCTTTGGAGGCAGGAGGGATTGAAGGGAGGGAGGAGGAGGAGGCTGAAGGGAGGAGTTTGGAGGAGGGGCTGGAGGAAAGAGTTTGGAGGAGACAGAAGCTGGAAGAGGCTGGAGGGAGAGAACACAGAGCAGGAAGGGGATTGAAGGAGGCTGGAGGGAGGAGCTGGAGGAAGGAGTTTGGAGGAGGAGCTGGAGGAGGTTTGGAGGAGGAGGCTGGAGGATGGGGCTTGGAGGGAGGGGGCTTGGAGAGAGGGGACTTTCAGGGAAGGAGGTTTGGAGGAGGGCTGGAGGGAGAGGGGGCTTGAAGGGTGGGGAGCTTGGGGTGGCTGGAGGGAGGAGCTTGGAGGGAGGGGTTCCTGTGGGTATCATGGAAGCTGTCAGCACCTGAGCTGCTTGGTTGAGGCTGGCTGCAGAGTGGGCAACCGCCTCCCGCCCCTCCTTCCAGCCCCATGTTTTGGGTGATGACCACAGTGGCACCTGGGCCTTTAATCCCACCCCAGCATACTTTTCTGGCAGGAGACCCGGGAGCCACACCTTGGCTTCAGCCTCATGCCACCCACCTCTTCTCCCTGCAACGGGCACCGGTGGCAGCTCACTGCAGGAAGGAGGCCGTCCTGCCGCACCTGCGGTGAGCCCCTTTGGAGGCAGGAGGGATTGAAGGGAGGGAGGCTGGAGGGAGGGGGGCTGGAGGAAGGGGGTTTGGAGGGAGGGGGGCTGGAGGGAGGGGGTTTGGAGGGAGGGGGGCTGGAGGGATGGGGCTTGGAGGGAGGGGGGCTTGGAGAGAGGGGGACTTTCAGGGAAAGAGGTTTGGAGGGAGGGGGGCTGGAGGGAGGGGGCTTGAAGGGTGGGGGGCTTGAAGGGAGGGTGGCTGGAGGGAGGGGAGCTTGGAGGGAGGGGTTCCTGTGGGTATCATGGGAAACTGTCAGCACCTGAGCTGCTTGGTTTAGGGGCTGGCACCAGAGTGGGCAGCCGCCTCCCGCCCCTCCCTTCCAGCCCCCCATGTTTTGGGTGATGACCACAGTGGCACCTGGGCCTTTAATCCCACCCCAGCATACTTTTCTGGCAGGGAGACCCCGGGGAGCCACACCTTGGCTTCAGCCTCATGCCACCCCACCTCTTCTCCCTGCAACGGGCACCCGGTGGCAGCTCCTGCAGGAAGGAGGCCGTCCTGCCGCACCTGCGGGTGACCCGGCCTAGGCTGCCAGAGCCCGCCATCCTTCCTGTTTGTGCTGCCAGGCTGGTGGGGTCCCTTGCCACCGACCTCAGCCGCAGCCAGTCTGCTCCCTTCCTGGGTGGATTTGCAGGAGCCTCCCCCACCCTCTGCCCCTAGCTTGCTCCTCCTTGAGGACCCTGGGCAGGGTGGCTGCCATGGGGCCCAGCCGTGCGTGGGAACCTGCGAACTGGCAAACGGGGCTCGGGGGTTTTGCCCAGAAATGGGTCAGAACGAAAGCCTTTCAGAGGAAAGAAAAGGGCATGAGTCAAAGAGAAAGTTGGGGGGTGGGGGCTCCTCCTCATCTCACCCCACCCAGGTCTCCTGACTCCCTGGGTTTGTGTGGACCCAGGCAGGCAGCCAACCCAGCTCCGTGGTCTGTGGGCATCGTGATGATCAGGACACAAGCTCTTCCCATCTGAGCCTTCACTGTGGGCCAGCTTCCCAGTGGATGACCACGGAAGAGGCCTCAACCCAGTGGGCCCCACTCCAGACCAAGAGCAGACCACTGGCCAGTGCCCCCCGCAGACAGCGGCACCCAGGGCAGCAGCAAGGTGAGGGGCACCCAGCCCCAGCCCGAGGGGCGCCTCAGAGAGCGGGCTGAGCCTGGCTGTCTCCCTGACCCCTCACCTGCTTCACCGGGTTGGCTTGAGCGAGGCAATCCAGATGCGTGTCTCGAGCGCCCCCTGGTGGTGTGCTGCAAAGCTACATGGCCCCAGCGAGAAGAAAGCCGGCCCTTCATCCTCAATAACAAGGTAGAACTGGGGGCTGGAGAGCCCCTCCGACCCCACCTTTGGAAAGGTAAGTGGGTGCACGGAGCCTGGCAGGTGGCCAAGGGGACCCCCAAGTGGAGGGACTGGTCCAGGAGCAGCACGGGGCGGTGCAGCAGGTGAGCCCAGCACCTCCCCTCCCACTTTCGTCCCATCAAGCCCCAGGACGTGGGGGGGATCACGTCTGTGTCCTTGTTCTCCTCCAGGTGGAGCTGCTGAGTGGGGCTCTGGTCCTCCAGGGACCCACTCTGCACCCCAAGTTTTGCCCTGACCTGCTCCTCTGTGTTGCGTGGCTGTAGGGGAGGGCTGCAGCCAGGGACTCTGAACCTGGGGCCGGCCCACCCAGCCTCCCAGAGCCAGAAGCTGGGGAGGTCCTCGCTTCCTAGGGTGTTGGTTCGGGGATCACATGCCCCACATTCTGGGCTAAGCATGGCCCTGCCCCAGCATCTTGCTGGGTTGGGGGCATCTCCGCACAGATGAGTGCCACCCCAGGGTCTCTGCTGGGGTCTGGGCATGTCACCCTTGCGCATCTGTGCTCAGGAGGTCACCAGGTGTGGGCAGTGCACCAAGTGGGGAGGTAGCTGAGGCTGGAAGATGCACATCAGTGCCCCGCTGGGCTTCCTCAAGTGGGAACTGGAGAGGAGCCTGGGCTGCTGGGCCAGGGTCAGCAGGCTTAGGCGGGCTCAGGGCTCAGGGTCAAGCCAGAAACCAAGGTGAAGTCTGCCTCTTGCTGCCACCAGGGCCCTGGGACAGGGATAGCAACAGCAGAAGGTAAAGTGGGAAGGAAGTAATGGGACCCCAGGCAAGGCCGAGCCAGGTCCCAAGCCCAGGATTGGGGTCTCCAGAGTCCCTGGGGGTCCCAGGGCAGCTCACCCACAGCCTGGGGCCTATGGGAGCAAGGGGGCTCCTGATGGCTGGGGGCAGGAGCTTGGACAAAGTTGAAGGCCGTCTGTCTGAATTGGCCGGGGCCAATGAAAGCCAAAAAGCTGGCGTGGTGGCTTATGCCTGTAATCCCACTTTGGGAGGTCAAGGCAGGTGGATCACCTGAGGTCAGGAGTTCGAGACCAGCCTGGCCAACATAGTGAAACCCCGTCTCCACTAAAAATACAACAATTAGCCGGGTGTGGTGGCGGGCACCTGTAATCCCAGCTACTCAGGAGGCTGAGGCAGGAGAATCGCTTGAACCTGGGAGATGGAGATTGCAGATAGCCAAGATCGTATCATTGCACTCCAGCCTGGGTGACAGAGTGAGAGTCTGTCTCAAAAAAAAAAAAAAAAAAAAAAAAAAAAAAAATCCAAAAAGGCGAGTGGGCAGCAGGGTGCTGGGCTGCATGGGGGCCTGTGCCGCAACCGGAGGACCCCAGCCCCCTGCCAATCCTTCCCCAGCTCAGGCCCAACGGCTCCCTTCTCATGCAGCTGCTCTGGGAGGAAGTCCCTCCTTGCCAATCCCTGATAGAATGGGCAACAGGGACCATGGGGACAGGTTAGGGACCCCAAGAAGATGGAACACACTAGGAGGCTGCTCTGGGGACCCTGAGTCAGGCCAGCAGGATAGATGTTGTGACCTGAGGGACTGTGGAGCTCCAGGGGAGCTTCCTAGCCAGTGACACAGTGGCCTGGGCCAGACGCTGCCCTGTGCCCTTGAGTGACACCTGGGCCTCTCTGCACCCACCCGCTTTACCTGTAGCTAATGGCTTAGAGTGAAGGACGGTGGGCATGGGCGTGGGCGTGCCGCATGGGCTCAGCGTCCACCCTGCTCCATGCAGGCACCCATCACACCAGGACCCACATACAGGCTCCCATCACACCCTGCCCCATCACAGCAGTGCCCAGAGGGCTATGGAGGCTTCCAGCTGAGGGCCAGCCCAAGGTCACAGGCAAGGAGTGAGAGGTGAGGGTCAAGGGGGCTTCCTGGTCTGGGTGGGCTCTGGCCCCCAAAACATGTTGCTTAGGTCAAGCCAGTCTCCCCCAGCAGAGGTGAGCAGTTCTCCCCCAGTCTGCCTGGTCCACCCTTTCTCCAGGGACTGTGCCCAGCGGGTCTTATCTTCGCCATGCCAGGTGTGATGGTTAATACTGTCAACTTGATTGGATTGAAGGATACAAAGTATTGATCCTGGGTGTGTCTGTGAGGGTGTTGCCAAAAGAGATTAACATTCGAGTCAGTGGCTGCAGAGGGCAGACCCACCCTTCATCTGGTGGGCACAACCGAATCAGCTGCCAGTGAACATAAAGCAGAGAAACGTGAAAAGGAGACGATGGGCCTCGCCTCCCCGCCTGCATCTTTCTCCCGTGCTGGACGCTTCCTGCCCTCAAACATCGGACTCCAAGTTCCGCTTTGAGACTCAGGCTGGCTCTCCTTGCTCTGCAGCTTGCAGACAGCCTATCGTAGGACCTTGTGATCATGTAAGTTAATACTTAATAAACTCCCCTTTATATATATATATTTCTTTTTTCTTTTTTCTTTTTTTTTAACACACAGTCTTGCTGTCTCCAGGCTGGAGCGCGGTGGTGCAATCTCAGCTCACTGCAACCTCCGCCTCTTGGGTTCAAGCAATTCTCTTGCCTTAGCCTCCAGACAGTTGGGACTACAGGCGCCCGCCGCCACGCCTGGCTAATTTTTTGTATTTTAGTAGAGATGGGGTTTTACTGTGTTGTCCAGGCTGGTCTCAAACTCCTGAGCTCAGGCAATCTGCCTGCCTCAGCCTCCCAAAGTGCTGGGATTACAGGCGTGAGCCACCATGCCTGGCCCCCCCTCCATATATATATCTCCTATTAGTTCCGTTCCTTTAAGAGGACCCTGACTGGCCAGGTGCAGTGGCTCACGCCTGTAATCCCAGCACTTTGGGAGGCCAAGGTGGGCAAATCACCTGAGGTTGAGAATTCGAGACCAGCCTGGCCAACATGGAGAAAACTTGTTTCTACTAAAAATACAAAATAAGTTGGGTGTGGTGGCACATGCCTATAATCCCAGCTACCCAGGAGGCTGAGGCAGGAGAATCCCTTGAACCTGGGAGGCAGAGGTTGCGGTGAGCCAAGATCGCACCATTGCACTCCAGCTTGGGCAATAAGAGCGAACCTCCGTCTCAAAAATAAATAAATAAGAGAACCCTGACTAATAATAAGAACACACCAGGGCCGTCTAGGCGCCTAGAACTCCAGACTCCTAATAACCACTGAGGCGCTTCTGAACCCAGTCCTCCTACATCCCCAGTGTCAGTGGGACACAGAGTTTCAGCCCCTGCACCCTGACCTGGTACTGGCCTGATCTGGGCACTTTTGACCACATGGTCCCCCTCCCTCCCTTGGGGCCTTCTTGCTCCAAATTTAGGAGGGGCCAAGTCCCAGCTCCAGGTGTCCAGGCCTCTCCCATCACACCCCTCACCCAGCCCCATGAGTCCACCTGGCTGTGCATAGCTGGTGTCACACAGGTACCTCTGCCTGCCATCCCTTCTCCGCGTGCTGCAGGGCCTGACATCCGCGGTCCCCATGAGAAAATCAGACTCAATGTCTGCATCATTTTCCTTCTGCCTGGAGGTGATGGGCACCCACATCCAGGTGTGTGTGGACTGTCCCCTGCTCCAGCCCTCTTTATCACACAGGATGAGGGTCTTTCGGACCGTAGAACCAACTCTGGCCTGGCCCAGCCCTATGCTGCACCCTTCCCCTCTCCCACCTGAGTGGAAGGGTCCGCAGGGGTGAGGCCTGGCTGAGGAGGGTGGGGATGATCCCGTGGCCTCTCCTCCAGCTCCACGGGACAGGAAGGTCCTCCTAATGAGGGGACAGAAAGGCCTCCACCCTCTGGGGGTGCAAGAGCAGACCCCAGGGCCCTCACTTGAAGGTCCATCTACCAGGGCCCCACATGGTAGATGGAGACAGCGGAAGATTAACACAAGCCGGCAACACAGGCAGAAGCCGTAGGTCTGAAATGGACTTTAATTGGCTTTTGTCTCTAGAATTCCCCACCCATTCCTTCACTCCACGGTTCTCCCTGCCCCTCCAGTCTGGGGGTCCAAACCGAACAGGAGAGGTGCAGGGGACCAGGAGGTCTCCTGGCACAAATGTTTGGGGGTCTCCCTGGCAAGGGATCCCAGGGCCTGAAGCCTAAGGCCCAGTCACAAGCACACAGCATCAAAACATGTTTTTAGTGGGAAGCTCCGGGCCCTGCCCCTCCCCGGGGGTCTCGAGGTCAGGGAACAGGTGGGCGTCTGTCTGCCTCCAGGTCATGGCAGCGCGGGTGGTGAGCCGGGGGCCGGCAGGGGCGCAGACAGTGCGGCGTGGTCAAATAGAGGGTTGCGCACCTCCATTTCCCCGGTCTGCAAACGTGGGTGTCAGGCCGGGCAGTGGGTGGACTGGGGGCATGCTTGCTGGGAGGAAACCCCAGGAGATGGTATGCCCCTCCCTGCACCCTGAGGCACTCACTGGGGCCAGGCCCGGGCACTCGTACACCGTGAAGTCTCCATCCTCATTCTCCTCATCCGAGGAGGCCGTGTCCAGCTCCTTGGGTGGCTCTTTATGCCTGGGTGGGGGGGGATCGCTGGGTCCTCCCCACACCCTCGAGGTGCCAGTGGCCCAGTCTGGAAGTGGGCACTCAGCCCACCTCAGCCCTGGGGTGGCAGGGGAGCAGAGCCCAGGGTGAAGTTGGCCAGGGGAGGTGAGGGTGCAGGGTGGCAGGGGAGGTGAAGGTGAGGGTGCAGGTGAGGGTGGCAGGGCCCAGGGTAAAGTTGACCAAGGGAGGTGGAGGTGGGGATGGGAGGTGGGTGGGAGGGGGTGGCGGGGCCGGGGCAGCCACTCACCGCTCCAGGCACAGCATCTGCTGCCGCTGGTGCTGGTAGTGGTACATCTCCGCGCTGTGTGCCAGCCGCTGGTCCCCAGGCTGTGGGAAGGAGGGGGTGAGGGTCAGGTGGTGGTCAGAGTTGGACGGGAGCCTCAGGGCCGAAGAGGGCTACACACCGAGATCCGGGGCGCTGCAGGTGAGCCGGGGGACTTCGCAGCGGCGTAGTCAGTCTTCTGGGTCAGGCGGATCTCACGCTGCAGCCTGTGGGGAGTGGGGCCTGAGACCTCTGAGCGTGTGGTGCCCTCCCTGCCCTGCCCGCGGCCGCTGGCTCACCTGCACCAGCAGAGAGAGGCTACGGAGAGGGCAGCCACGCCGGCCACACAGAATGCCAGGATCAGCACTGTGGAAGAGGGCGTGTGAGGGCGGCCTCTGCGGGGGGCCCTGCCGCCCCTGCCCACCCCCGACCAAGACCTACCAAGGGCGAGGCCGTCGCCGTGCCCTCCCCGGGGCTCCAGGGGTGACATGTGCA